TCGCTCTTTCAACATTTTATATTTCTCAATGTCGCCTAATATTAACTAAGTTGTCGATCTAGCTTCGCTCGACATATCATTCGTGCTTTTTTAAATTAAAGTACTAAAATAGCTCATCTTACCTTTCGGTAACAATAAATTGTAATTACTTGTGAAAATTTTTGCTTATACTAACTGAAAAAAAAAAAAAACTTAAATAGGTAGACTTTGATGAAAATAAGCAAAAAACTTGATTACGAGTTATAAAACTTTCATTCATGGTATATAAAAAATTATAATTCATTTTTGGATATTTTAAAGTGTAATAATTATTGTACTTAATAAATCAGCACAGAGTACGGACCTGTTCAAGGCGACGACCGCTCCCGCCCGTCGCGCCGCGCTCGTGCCGATCTCAGGCACTAGGCAACAAAAATAACGACGCTTTCGGGATGCGCTTTTTGTTATGGTCATTATGCCATACTAACAGGCTTCCTTCTGCTAACAATCGTCTCAACAATAATACTTCGTTTTGTATTATTTTTAAATTAGGTCGGTAAAAATCATATTTGTAAATAAAAAAGAGCAAATTAACTATATCTTTCAATGTAATATTAGAAATATACAAAAACAGTATAGTTTAACTTCATTACGGTTTACCGAATTGAAAGCAATACATACCTACCAACTTAATACAATGAAATTTTTAATGCATTTATGTATTCCATTTTAGAAACCTTTACCATGTTACAAAAGATGTCTGAACCTTACACGTAGATACCTTGAGAATCTTCCCAACCCTCAATACTGCTTAATATGGTTGACCCTGCTCTAATGAGAGCAAAAGTATTTAAGTTTTAAGTTCACATATTGCTTCTGTAATGACAATGTTCACAATAACGTGGTCACGTGATGTAGTCCATCGACGGCCGCAGCGATACAACAGCGGCTGACACTCTTCCGCCCGCGCATCCGTTAATGATAAAACATTCGCGATCCAAACTCTTTATTCACGAAATTTATGAATCGACAACTGTTAATTATTGTCTCCTTTAATCAACATATTAATTAAACAATACACACAACGCGTGTAATACCGGACCAACAATACAAATCTGTGTTTATCGAATGCGGAAACTGATTGCTTGAAGTACAACTTATTGAAACAGTTAGTTAATGTCATAGTACACGCAAAAAGTAACATTAAAAACGAATAAAAAATTTTTTTAGGATACAATCCATCTAAGGTTTTCGAAGAATTCCCAACCATAAAGTTCCCATCTTTATAGTTTGGAATTCTTCTGGAGATTATTCTCATCCAAATCCTTCCAGTGGTTGAAGTACGTTATAGGAGACACGCATACAAACATTATTATTTATCTATGAAACAAAGAAGATAATAAAGCTGCTTGATCATTAATTTTCATGTTAAACGAACCAAATATGAGCAATTGCTTATTCCATGGCGCTGAACAAACTTGAAAGGGCAGCTTTCGTAGCTGCATAATTTAAATGTTAATGCGTAACATTTCTCCAAATATCATGTGGTTTTGCTAGTATTGTTTTTACATTCCTGAATTGCCATTGTATGGTTACGACGGTATTAAAAGCGATTTTGCAGTGCTATATTATTTAGAATAGAGTGGTCACGAAGCAAAAATAGAAACAAAAATCGGCCTCTTTAACAACTAGATAACTTGTTACAATTTCGACAGTTAACCGATAACCCTGTTATCTGTTTCAAGCGGAATAGAAACAAAACATCACTTAAAATACTACTGTACCGTACTGTAAAGTTAATTATTATTTAAAACAATTTATAAAGTACATCCTAATTAGGTATAGTATCTGATGTTTTATTAAATTTTAACTGTATATGTACATATTTTACAAAATAAATTACTGCATAATTCAATTCAAATCATGAAGATGATAACGTAAACCAAAAATCATTGATCAGTTACTTATTGTACAAAGCTTTAGACTCACTTAAAGTGTCTCACTAACTAAGGAAAGCAAACGTTCTCTAAGAATTTCTTACAGGGCGCCTAGTTGTTTATAGGCTTAGTATATTTAACACGAATCTTAACATCACAAATAGCTGTGAATGAACGCTTTGAAATCGATAAGCGGTCATTCTTAAAACGCGGTTATGATGTCAAAGTTCAGGCAGATAAATGTTCTCATAACGATTCCCTCTACCTTATCTCACAGAGACCTTTAATTATGAATACATTTTTAACATTGTATCTGTTAAATCATTTTTAAATGTAATTCTAGTTAGTTGCCAAATGTAATGAAATAGAACATAGATTAAGTTACTATAAATGTATACATGTACGTTTTATATATGAAGGTGTGGTGTCACAGGAGGCCTAAACAGGAAATGGGTGAGGATCTAAATTTATCTGCCGTTGGGCAGTTTGCTCGTAAACCATCAATATAACTGGCAGTTAATACTGGCGAAACTTCAGAGATTTCTAGCTAGCATTATTCCAGAACCTACGACATTTAAATATTCCGACTGTGTTCGAGAGTAAACAATATTAGGCTTATAATTTTAACTACTGTCCAATGTAGGAAAAAACCAAACCTAACTGAAAACTTTCATCTTCAAGGACTTACACAACAGAAGCAATAATACTAATAATTATGTTAGGGAACTTTTAAAGCTTATAGCATAATAGATATTGCGTCATTGGGACTGCATAAACACTATTCAAGGACATGATGACACGAGAGAGTCTATGTTTTCTGATACCAAAGCTATGACGTCACCTTTACCGAAATTCATATCAAATGAAAGCAGGTAGACATCATGATGACATAAAATTTAATATGACAATGGTAAACAAAACCAATAAATGAACAATTAATGTAGTCTACATATCATAAGGTATAAGACAAATCGTGTTAGTCATAGACAAAGAACTTAGGTTCTTCTAATTTTTACCGAAACAATATTAAAATACCTAAATAGTTCACAGTGTAATTATCTTTATAGCCTATCGCCTAATTTAGTACGAGAAGGAAGTACAACGCTGGTTCAGTGACCGCGTGTTGTTGAGATAAGTTAGGCGCTTTCGTTCAACCTCACATCCCATAATAATCGCTGCAGTAGGTTTATTGTGTCGAGTTACGTCATGCGTATGTTCCAAATGCATGCCGCAATCGCATAGATGACAGCATAAAGTAATAAATTCCTGCATTTATAAGTTTCTTAATATTTAGGTTTGAGCTGCGAGTACTTGACGTCTTAATTGAGTACATAATTCGACCTGAGGCAAAGCATACGCTCTACGTGATACAATACCCAAAGATCTCGTGATATCTCGATCTATGAACAGGATAATATTAAACATAAGATTTGAACGTTAAAGTCCGCAAGGATTGTAAAGGACACATCTGTCGTGCACATGTTTGTAGCGCGCAAATTTTGTTAATGGTTTACGTAGAATTCTTCTCAGAGGAGTGTGTATCCTAAATTCCAAACTATCTTCTATAAATTACTAATTGTTAGTGACTTCATCCGTGTGGTAAAAAAAAAGCTTAGTAAGAGACCTTATGACTATTTGATTTTTGGTCGTTAAAAAAAATGCTTTTGTGTGTATGCCTATTATTATGCATTCAAAATTAAAGCTATTGTTTTAAAAACAAATATAAGAACAGTACCAAACCAAACAACAGTAAAGTATTGTATTACAAATTGCCACTCGGCGTGACATAAGACTGAATAACAGGATTGGAAAAGAATTGGAATAGATACCAAAATATTTTACCAAAAACACACAATCAGACAACTTTACAATATAATAAAGGGTCTATATTTTGTTAAATCTCATGACCAAAAAATTTATAAGAAACTTGTAATTTTTTTGTATCGTATAATCAGAAGCGTAAAAATATACAAATTGTATGTCGTGCAGTGTACTGAAATAATTTTAGTCACAAAGGTGATTCAGAATCTTTTTGTTTGACAACATAAATGGGACGTCTATTTCGAGGAGCATAGGTGATAAGTCCGTTCAATTCATTTATAAAACGAGCCTCCCATCATATGGGAAACACCCACATGCGGCTGACAACACTTAACAATTGAGTGCCATAGAAACTATGCTCACAGTACATTCACCGCAAATATGCTCGTAGTACATTTGTCGCAATATACAAGCTATAAATCATCATCATCCACTTGCCCTTATCCTTTACGGAGGTTCGGCACAGTATGTGCTGCTCTTCCATACATCTCTATCAGCCGTCATATATGAATCCACTCTTTTCTTGAGCATATCCTCTTTCACAC